TTGGGACAGCAGTTATTTCCCTTTTACATCCCCTGACCTTGAATCAGTTGCCCTATTGTCTGGCAGACGATCCATCACCACTCTGGCCATTCTTTCGTCTGGCGGTCCTTCCTTTCAGCATTAACTTTCCAGATGATAACTCCAACTCATGTTGATGGATTCAGGAGAAATCCTGATTATAGACTCTTCGTTATCAAAACAGAAGTCAACTTTGACAGACATTCATACTGGTCGTGAATAGATGCATCAAAGGTCACTGGCTCCGCTATTACCCAAGTGATACTGGTTTGAGATGCTAAAATATTGAATATGTTGTCAAGGCATAGAGGACTTGGGCCAGAATCTACCAATGATCACATCACACTCTTAAAAACCATTTAAAGTGGTAGTTATAGGTTAAGTAGTCAAAACTGAACTGAATCTGACATTAATGTCATTAATTTAATCAGTATGGAAGAATAATGGTACACATGAACATGATGCCTTTAATAATGTCATTTTTTTAAATCCTCAAAATGCCGCAATGACCAAACACATAACGTGACAATACAGAAGACCACATGAGAACTACTGGATCAATGCATGTGCACGTCTGCACATAGATGCCAGGAATTGGCCAATAGAAGTGTGTTAGGGTGGTTCTCAGGTGCCGAAATGTTGTCTGAGGGGCGGTCACGTAGCCCAGTGGTTAAAGCTTGGCTCATCATGCAGAACACCCGGGTTTGATTCCCGACATGGGTACAATGTGTGAAGGCCATTTCTGGTGTCCCCCCACCGTGATATTCCTGGAATATTGCCAAAAGCAGCGTAAAACCATGCTCACTCACTCAAATGATGGGAAGGAAGAGAATCACTGTCATCCAATGTACCATCTCCAGACATTGGTATCAGTTCTGATAGCATGTATTTGACTGTGTCAGGACTGCTTGATACTGACCATCATCATTTGAGCGAACGCATACAATGCAGTACATGATTGTGAAGGATATATGACCCGACAGTGCGGAACCACCATTCGTGAACCAGTGTTGTTTTGATGCAACAACATTAACTGCACCATCAGTGGTGTCAAGCCATAACTAGTGATGGAGAACTGTTTGGTTCAGTTGGGAGTCAGGATTTATAATGCAATGGTGATGCCAACTGTATATGTGAGTTCAACAGATGTGGCAGTGACAGCATAATGATGTGGTTGGAAATCTCCCACACTGGCAGAACAATAATGGTGCAAATGTAAGGTAACTGGTAGCTGGACCAACCCTGTTGTGACTAATCTACTGCTGCATGTTTTACAATACTAGATGACCGGTACATACAGCATGTGGAACAGCAACATTCCTACAGATCCACAATGTACAGGTCCTCTCTGGTGCTCTCTATCACGAGATTGGAACCTGATAGAACACCTTGGGGACAGTTAGAAACACTGTTTACACATGTACTACAGTTCAAGGGGACTATTATTCCATACAATCCATGGGTAGGGCATACAAGGCAGTACTTGCCCCCAAATGGTGGACATGTCACATATTGAGTTCTCATCAATGGTGAGACGAGCAGCAATGTGTGTTACTTTACATACCAAAGATTACCAGGTTGCTTTATTGTCAGAGTATGTTGCAAAAATGTGAATTTAAAGCAACACAAATGTGATCATCTAAAATCCTATATCTGTATTAAATAAAATATATTTGAGCTGACCATTCTCAGTTTCTGTTGTCAATAAAATGGCATATTCCTGTGTGTTCACCTGCTACATGTACAACATCAGAAGAATTCTTCAGCACACCTCTCTGTAGAATATATTTCAGTATATAAGGATATAATAATTCTTGTACGACATGGCACAGTTTGTCTTGGAGTTACTGGGTGCTACATACTTGTATCCTTCAGTTGTTTTTAAATGTATGTGGAATGAGAGTAAAATAGGCCCTCAGAACACCATATTTATCTTGAAACAACAGTATGTGGTCAAGACTGTTGACCCTATCTATCAAGCTCACCCAATAATATGTAAAAGCGAGACTATTATGTTTCAGTATCTCTCAACAGAAGGTAACACCCAGACCTATGTTGAAGAGCTTTACAAAGCCCTGAACAAATGTAGATGCTCACTCTGATGGGTGTATGTCACTTACTCACTCTCTCTGATCGGTGGGGCAGTCGGGTAGCCTAGCGGTTAAAGCGTTCGCTTGTCACGCAGAATACCCAGGTTCGACATGGGTACAATGTGTGAAGCCCATTTCTGGTGTGATATTGCTGGAATATTGCTAAAAGCGACGTAAAACCATACTCACTCACTCACTCTCTGATGGGTGTTTGTGACTCACTCACTCTGATGGGTATATGTGACTCACTCAGATGCACACTGGTGTGTATATGTGACTCCTTCACTCACTCGCTCTGATAGGTGTATGTGACTCACTCTGATGTGTGTCTGTGACTCACTCTGATGGGTGTATGTGACTCACTCTGATGGGTGATGTGACTCACTCACTCTGATGGGCGTATGTGACTCACTCTGATGTGTGTCTGTGACTCACTCTGATGGGTGTATGTGACTCACTCTGATGGGCGTATGTGACTCACTCTGATGTGTGTCTGTGACTCAGTCTGATGGGTGTATGTGACTCACTCTGATGGGTGATGTGACTCACTCACTCTGATGGGCGTATGTGACTCACTCTGATGTGTGTCTGTGACTCACTCTGATGGGTGTATGTGACTCACTCTGATGGGTGATGTGACTCACTCACTCTGATGGGCGTATGTGACTCACTCTGATGTGTGTCTGTGACTCACTCTGATGGGTGTATGTGACTCACTCACTCTGATGGGTGTAAGTGACTCCCTCTGATGGGTGTATGTGACTCACTCTGATGAGTGTATGTGACTCACTCTGATGGGTGTATGTGACTCTGATGGATGTATGTGACTCACTCTAATGGGTGTATGTGACTCACTCACTCTGATGGGTGTATGTGACTCACTCACTCTGATGGGTGTATGTGACTCACTTACCTTGATGGGTGTATGTGACTCACTCACTCTGATGGGTGTATGTGACTCACTTACCTTGATGGGTGTATGTGACTCACTCACTCTGATGGGTGTGTGTGACTCACTCACTCTGATGAGTGTATGTGAATGTCTCACTCATTGATGCACTCACTCTGATTGGTGTATGTGACTCACTCACTCTGATGGGTGTATGTGACTCATTCATTCACTCACTCACTCTAAAGTGTGTTTGTAACTTAATCTGATTGGTGTATGTGATTCACTATCTCTGATGGGTGTATGTTATTCACTATCTCTGAAGGGCGTATGTGACTCTCAGTCTAAAGGGCGTATGTGACTCTCACTCTAAAGGGTGTATGTGACTCTCTCACTCTTAAGGGCGTATGTGACTCTCACTCTAAAGGGCGTATGTGACTCTCACTCTAAAGGGTGTATGTGACTCTCTCACTCTAAAGGGCGTATGTGACTCTCACTCTAAAGGGTGTATGTGACTCTCTCACTCTTAAGGGCGTATGTGACTCTCTCACTCTAAAGGGCGTATGTGACTCTCACTCTAAAGGGTGTATGTGACTCTCACTCTAAAGGGTGTATGTGACTCTCTCACTCTAAAGGGCGTATGTGACTCTCACTCTAAAGGGTGTATGTGACTCTCTCACTCTAAAGGGCGTATGTGACTCTCTCACTCTAAAGGGTGTATGTGACTCTCTCACTCTAAAGGGTGTATGTGACTCTCTCACTCTAAAGGGTGTATGTGACTCTCTCACTCTAAACGTCGCTATATAAGTGCAATAATCTTGGACGCGACGTTAAACCCAATTTCACCTCACCACCACTCACTCTAAAGGGCGTATGGGACTAACTCACTCTAAAGGGCGTATGTGACTCTCTCACTCTAAAGGGCGTATGTGACTCTCTCACTCTAAAGGGCGTATGTGACTCTCACTCTAAAGGGTGTATGTGACTCTCTCACTCTAAAGGGCGTATGTGACTCTCACTCTAAAGGGCGTATGTGACTCTCACTCTAAAGGGTGTATGTGACTCTCTCACTCTTAAGGGCGTATGTGACTCTCTCACTCTAAAGGGCGTATGTGACTCTCACTCTAAAGGGTGTATGTGACTCTCACTCTAAAGGGTGTATGTGACTCTCTCACTCTAAAGGGCGTATGTGACTCTCACTCTAAAGGGTGTATGTGACTCTCTCACTCTAAAGGGTGTATGTGACTCTCACTCTAAAGGGCGTATGTGACTCTCTCACTCTAAAGGGTGTATGTGACTCTCTCACTCTAAAGGGTGTATGTGACTCTCTCACTCTAAAGGGTGTATGTGACTCTCTCACTCTAAACGTCGCTATATAAGTGCAATAATCTTGGACGCGACGTTAAACCCAATTTCACCTCACCACCTCTCACTCTAAAGGGCGTATGTGACTAACTCACTCTAAAGGGCGTATGTGACTCTCTCACTCTAAAGGGCGTATGTGACTCTCTCACTCTAAAGGGCGTATGTGACTCTCACTCTAAAGGGTGTATGTGACTCTCTCACTCTAAAGGGCGTATGTGACTCTCACTCTAAAGGGCGTATGTGACTCTCTCACTCTAAAGGGCGTATGTGACTCTCACTCTAAAGGGCGTATGTGACTCACACTAAAGGGTGTATGTGACTCTCACACTAAAGGGTGTATGTGACTCACTCACTCTAAAGGGTGTATGTGACTCACTCATTCTAAAGGGCGTATGTGACTCTCACTCTAAAGTGTGTTTGTAACTTAATCTGATGGGTGTATATGATTCACTATCTCTGAAGGGCGTATGTGACTCTCACTCTAAAGGGTGTATGTGACTAACTCTGATGGGTGTACGACTTGCTTATTTAGATGGGTGTATGTGACTCACTCACTCTGAAGGGCGTATGTGACCCACTCGTATGGGTGTTTCACTAACTCATTCTTCTTGCTCTAAGTCACTGCTTCCTCCTTCCAGGCTGGGGTGTAAGGATTTGGGCACCAAGTGGAAACCCACCCCCATCCACCTGCCCATAGAAGACCGGGTTGAGATTGCTGGGGTGGCCTGTGGGGGGCGCCACACCATCATCTGGTTGAAGAACGGCCATGCCTACAGCTTTGGAAACAACTTCTATGCTCAGTTGGGATACAACTTTAAGGAGCCGAACTACAAAGAAAATCAGGTACATTCAGTAGTTTTTAGCATTTATTGACCTTGTATAGATAAAAACTGATTTCTATTGGCTTCTATCACATTTGGTTGTCGAAATGGACAAAGGCAATAATACATTTTTTACACCTCCCCTTCATTCTCTTGCCAAAAAAATACCATAAAGATAAATGAATGGCCATAAGCTCTTGCTTAGACCCAGCAGATGGAAGTCCCTCAAATCCGAAGTAAATAATATCTATTCATAGGTACTCAATCAGTTTATGAGCTATAAACATTTGCCCGTAGAGAATATAAAAACTGTTAGTCAATGAAAACACCAGATATTGTCATTTCCATTTGAAAGAAAGGTCAAATTCCTTTTCTTGAGCTCTTTCCTGACTTAAGGGGAAAGGTCCAAGAATAAAGTTGGAGCATAAGATAAGGTGGCTGGCCATTGGCTTTTCTTGCAGAGGAGAGAAGGGGTCTTTTCCCCCCCTTCACAGAACAAATTATATGTTTTTATGAGCTGACTGAAAAAATGACATGACCCCCCCATAATCCCGGGTTTTCCCAGCCCCAGAATACTGTATGGTTGGTCCCTAAATACGTATGGGTGGGGGCATATACACAGTTATGCAACTAAAACAATGGCACACAAAGTTAATACTCATATTATTGGAAATACCCTCTTCGCATATAGACAAACGAAATATCTAAGGAGTTTATGGTGTAAAATAACTTTTCCCAGATCATCATACAACCCAAGCCGTTTTCAGACAATAATTCTAACAGTACAAATGTTTGAACATATTCTGAGGATGTTATTGAAATGATTATAGGACCGACAATTTGACTTCATATCTTTTGCAAAAGTTTAAAGTTTGGAATGGTACATATATTGGTATAATGGTATATGTCTCAGCATAAAAAAGACATATGTAATTTTGAAAAAGTACAACATTCTCCCCTAAAACAAGTTTGTATCTATCAGGATAATGTCCACCAAAACGAACTGTACATTTGAGACATCTTCAGCTAAAATCTGTACTACATAATGTCTTTAATCCAAAACTCATCATTCGAAAACAATATACAATCCAGCAATTTGGCAACCATTTATAACAACTATTATAACATTGGTGCAGAGTTGCATCCCTTTTGCATGCCAGGATCCCACCATTGTGGGCTCAAATCTCAGCCTCAGCATTAATCCAATCCACTCATTATTGTTATTATTGTTATTGTTATATTACTTGATATTATTATAGTGTAAACCGGATGTAGGGCATAGAAGTAGTGTATGAGAAAGTAGAAAACAGTAACTATCTAGACATTTGTTATACTACCTGGAACTTGTATATCAACAAAATTAAGCCACTGCCACCTTTTTTTAACTAATTGATTTGTATAAATTTGTAATTACTTTTGAGATTGACAATGGTAGAGGCCATATGGTCACTACAAAGTGACTCACTAGTTCAGAGGGCGCAGTAAATTCAGTATCAGATTTTCATCCAGATTATTATAAAATGTGAGGCAGGAGGCATTTATGTTTCATGTTTTATTTTCCTAAAATTCTTTTCGTGGTCTTTGTACATTAACTGTGGACAGATGTGATTCACATGAAGCAAGGATGTTTTGTAGGACTATTTGGTGATGTATTTAATCAGGTTAAGGAAGGAGGCAATGGCAGCTGGGTTGAAAATCTAATAATTAATTCATTATGGCCTAATCGCTGTTACCCAAATGACATATGCAAGGTAATAGTTTTGGATGGTATTTTACTCAAGTAAAAAATCACATGAGTCCATTTATATTCTTTATTATACCAGGGAAGTGAAAGTGAGCCCTGCTACTTGAATGTATTTGATTGCTGCTAACATAGGCAGCCCTTTATAGAGGGAGCCTCTGAGATGAATCAGATCCCACATGCTGATAGGTGATGAGTATGTGCCCTTATGTTCCCACCTGCTGTAATCAAATACTTTTCTGTAACATATCGTTTTAAAACCAGGTTTCATCAAGTGACAGCATCACTGATAGGCTACAAATTAAGAAACAACAAGTTAAGTGTCATAAAGATCAGATAAATGGACAAGATCTTGACTTAAATATCAATGAAACCCAAACGTTGAAGTTCATTTATATGCTTTTTGTCTTACAACTCCAGCTTCAAGGAGGCTGTTCAAAGAATCTGTGGTGTTGAAAAAGTAATTGTTCATGTGTGTACTTACACAGGCTGATGTAATCTTTTATCTGTTCACACATAGACACTAAATTTTGATAACTTTAAGTGTATCTTGTGGAGTACTTGAAGTTTCTAACATGCACTAACATTGCCCAAACTCAACTGCAACACCTGTGCCTTACAGACTTATCTCCCTTTGACCATACCTGTAGATGTAATCTTTCTGGTTATAGCTGCAGGGAAATGTATTGCACATACCTGCTTGTAGATTTATCCATCTGTTTTCTGTGTTTTGCCATGTTCGCATGCATCCCAGCTCAATGTATGCTGCAATGTCATTGTCAGTGTCAGGCTTGACATTGATGAACAGCAAGAGCTTTGTTGTGTAGAAGCATAGAGCTTCGTCATGCTGCATCAACATTGTGAATCTCACCACTGACAAAGTGTTTCCGTGTCTACAGCTAGGGATAATGTGCATTTAGTAGTATCCTACAGTCTGGGTATTTATTGCAGCAAGGAGAGGCATGTTAAACTTACAAAACCTTGAGAAATATCCTCTTTCAATTATTACATGTAATGTGAATTACCCCAAATGAGCAGTCAGTTGATATAGAAGATATCCTATGGTGTTCTACAAAGTTACACCTATGTCATTTAAACATGTCATCATATTCTTTCATACAATTTCTGAAATAAGATTATCAATATCAGAATGTTAAAATTCATTTGAGTAATTAATGATGCCCTGCTGGAATTCTGGGGCAGAAGATGGCCTCAGTTCAGTGTGGTTGTCATAGGATCAGGGGACATTAGTCTAGATGGATTGCCCTGCAGTGGTTCCAGAGTTCACATAGTGCCTAGTTGTCTCGTCTTGAATACACACACCTGGCTGACCAGGAGTATCTTATCTTGACTACATGGATTGTTGCTCACATTGTTGACCACTAGTTGGATCACCTCCATATGCTATCATGCTATCACAAGGGTTTCTCCTTGTAGACTGCTCAGCATCATGTCACTGCTCCTGGGTTTAACTAAAGAGGTAAATGTCTGAGAACTGCATCTCTTCGGGCTTTCCTCCCACATTAATCTGACATGCTGTAATATAAGTGAAACACTGTTCAAAGCGGCATTCAGCCTAACTCACTTTCTCATTGACTGCAACATAGAGCATCGCTTTCTAACAACAATTAAACAAAAGAGCTTTATGTCAAAGCCCTGAGTGAGCATTATTACGTTCACTAATCTTCAGTTTTCTGAAAGTAAGCTTGAAGGCCATCTAATCACAATTTTTTGCAAAATATGCAAAAGAAATTAAATGTCAACACTTTTTGTAACATTTTGACAAAATGTCTTCCAATATGATTCAGAGAAAGGTTTTTGTTGTTTGGATATTTCCTTGCCCAATTTTGATGCAGTGCAGACCCATAATGCTGGCGTCTGTTTTTGTTTGATGTCATTGCAGCTTGAGCCGAAGTTGATGAAGTTCTTGATGTATCGACACGTGTCACAAGTGTCAAGCGGAGATAAACACACCCTCTTTCTCTTCAGCGATGGAACTCTGGCTGCTGTGGGGTAGGGACGAATGCTTACAGGAGGAAAATACAATGAACTACCGATATTAACTCGGATAGGATAAATAATCGTCTGTAATGGAACTAGTTCTATTCATCCAGGAACCAAGTGCACAAAGTCATCTTAGGGCAATGACTGACATTACTATCACACCTTAACATAGACAATCAACAGTCCTATCCATAGTTTGAAGTTTGAAACAGGGCTAATGGATTGATTAGTATATAACATTGTCACTTGGATAAACAATGTTGATTTCTGCGTTCCTGCAGTGTTTATTATCTCAGAAGTTGGTTGTATCCACCCAAGTGGATGATAAATAACATGGACCCCAGTGAAGGTGTCAATTAACAAATGTGAGCACATCGATCCCCCTGAACATTACATTTCAAAGAGTGGCAACCCACAACACTGAAGGTATCAATTAAACTTATGAACCTCCTCCTGTTAAGACTTCTGTACCGGTAACTTAGTTTTCTGGTACCAGGGGTGCATCTGTTGGCAACTGTGATCTGAGAAATACATACATCACTGACTTAATGATGTATATTAATATTTAAACATTACACACTGTTGTTTGTCAGTGTTAAACATTTTGCTTTTATATGTTTGTTTGTTTGTTTTTTAATGGCGCACTCAGAACTATTTTAGCTATAGGAAGGTGGCCTGTAATTAATCGAGTCTGGACCAGACAATCCAGTGATTGGCATCATTACTATCGACCCATGCAATTAGGATACGATGACATAAAACAACCAAGTCGGCGAGCCTAACCACCCCATTCCCGTTAGTCGCCTCTTATGGTTTTACATGTAGAAATCCCAGCCCAGTTTGCATTCAGACAACAATTTCTGTTTATGACACACCATGTGATGTTAAGGATTATACTCCTTCAAACTTGATATTGACTCAGATAAGACTGATGTGTTCTTATTGTAATGAAAATAAAACAAAATCCAAGAAATCTTCTTTTATCAGTAAATGGATTACAGCTTCAAGGGAGGAAATTTTGTAAATTTCAACAGACTAGAGCAAAAAATATTTTTTAAAACAAATTGTAATAGCACTTTTGTAATCTTGAACCCTTTGTTTTGAGAAATGTGTCATTCCTATGCAGCTCTATAATTTCTTTCCTTCACAATCTCTCAAAATATCGACAGCAAATTGTCTTTTAATGTAATTTTGACCAAAGAAGAGTTCATTCATTTATTGTTGCTTGAATGTTCAATATCTGAAAGCAGTTGTCATGCAAACGCTTTTCCCAGACTCGCAGATGGTGTCTGTATGAAAATGATTGAATTAATAAGGTCTGATGCCCCGACCGCTATGATGGGGAAACACAATGATGAATCTCTATATCTGCAATGGTACTCCCTCAGTCATAGTCAAAGGGGGGAACCTTTATTTAGCCACGATTTTTCCAAGATTAGTTTCTTCAGTATTAATCCCCAGGGTTTAAATTATAGATCATGCCAGAAAATGGACGATAGATTGTGGTTTTCATAATAATTATTGGCTTATTTTAAGAATACTGTAGTTTTCTGTGTCTAAATTACTTGATACATGTTCATTTCCATATAACCCAAAACATACAAAAATTTGAAATCGTACATGGATTTGATTTGGGATCATTAAATAATGTTGAAAATGTTTCTTTTATTCTGTTTTTGAATTGTACATTCTTTTTTCAGTTTAATATTTTGACTTGAGTAAATTCTATTAGGGAATTCAACTGATGATTACTCAAGTGGAAAATTGTTTCTTACTGATCTTATGTGTCCAAGACATGAATCTGATCAAATTGGTCAAGAAACTGTCATTACACATAAGTCATGAGCTGATAACAATGTGCTTTATCCTACTGTTCTTCTTTGACAGGAGTAACGCACACGGTCAGATTGGAATCGGCAGCCGAGAAGATGCGGTAGTTCCTCGCGATGTCGACATTGACAAAACTGTCACGTACATAGCATCCGGTGCCAATCATAATCTTGCCATAACAGGTTTGTTGAGTTTTGTGTCATATTCCTTTCAGGATTGTTCAGACAATGTGAAGCATGATTGGCAAAATGATGAACGTACAACTTGTACAGTATCTATTTACATTAAAATGTAAATTTCATCAGAATAGAGCAAAATATATTTTTTTAAACAAATTGCGCTTATGTAATCATGAACCCTTTGTTTTATAATGTCTTTCCTTCACAATTTTTCTATATGTATGAAAATGAATATTTCAATTTTGTAAATAATTTTAGAATCAAGACAGAACAAGGATTTTATTGGTGTTGGAAGTTTGAAAATTTATCATGTTAATATTCACAGAAAACAAATATTTGAAATTTGCAGATTTATAAAACCAGTTTCAAAAGAACTGTGTATGAAATTGAATTATCAATGACTTTTATAGTGAATTATCCCCTCATTCTCAATTAAACATCACGGCGATGGTAGCATTTAGAACACCGCTGGTTAAATGGAGTTGTCTCCCTTACTCTACAAATCAGTGCATTTCTTCACAACCTTCTGATCAATGGTTCCACACCCTGCGATAGCCTGTGGCAGTTGTCTCAAACTGTCTCCCTCCCTGCAGCTCTAACCTTGCTTAGGGAACGTACAAGTCATGATATCATTCCATAATCATCTCTAATCAGTTGTTCATTTTCTGGGATCTTTCCTCCTGCCAATTGTGTGTACTAAAGAATATGTCCCTAATTATGTGCTTAATGCTTATGAATAAGTAAAGTAAAGATTAAATACTTTTTGAAATGTCAGTGGATCATACAGAAAAATGCTTAGAAAAATCTATCAGAGGAGCTTATGTCAAATTGACAACAACCAAATGTTGGAGATCTTACATATTAGACAGCTGTGAATTAACCAAATGTTGGAGATGTTACAATTAGACAGCTGTGACTCAACCAACCAAATGTTGGAGATGTTACATATCAGACAGCTGTGAGTCAACCAACCAAATGTCGGAGATGTTACATATTAGACAGCTATGAGTCAACCAACCAAATGTTGGAGATGTTACGTAATAGACAGCTGTGAGTCACTAGACAGCTGTGAGTCAACCAACCAAACGTTGGAGATGTTACATATTAGACAGCTGTGAGTCAACCAACCAAATGTCGGAGATGTTACATATTAGACAGCTGTGAGTCAACCAACCAAATGTTGGAGATGTTACATACTAGACAGCTATGAGTCAACCAACCAAATGTTGGAGATGTTACATATTAGACAGCTGTGAGTCAACCAACCAAATGTTGGAGATGTTACATATTAGACAGCTGTGAGTTAATACAGGATGAAATAAGCCTGGTTAAATGATTATTCTTTTTGTTAAGCAGAAGTGGAACTTTAGCCAGTATAGATTTTTTGATGTCAGAGATCTTATGAAAATTATTTTTTGTAAAGATCCTTTATGTGCAACAATGGAAAATATTTTGCTCTCAATTTTGTTGTTATTGTGATCATTGAATTAAGTATTTCTCGTACCTGATTCACTGCATTAAGAAAATTTGACAAAATGCCCCCAAACAGTTTGATCACTGTGTGTTCTGCCTGGCTGTCTTATACACCATTTTGACTTAACAATTGAAAAATAATTTGATGATTGAAATCTGTAATGAGAAGAAATAGGCATTCTGCTGAACAATATTGTCGTTTGGAAGAGAAAGTTTTCCGACTTTAAAGCTAATCTATTATGATGATATTGGTTATATGTTAAACCTCTTCTCATTATTTAACAAGAAAATTGCAGGAACTGTTTTTGATGCAGTTTAAACTTTTATGTTCTTGTTATTGGAGTGATATATTTAATTAAGCCTTTCTCTACGTCCATATATTTTCACTAACAACGTTTCTGCACATCAGTAGAAATGCTTCCTAAGTTGTTTATTTCCACATCAAACAGAAATCAGTCTCATTCAACAAAAAAGAATGTAAAACAATGTGGTTGATATTGATCAATTTCCATTGTAAAAGTGATTTATCTCAGTAGATAAAGAGCAAATTGTTGACCACAAGCATTGTGTCTATTAAAGTCAGCTTATGTAACGTCTCAGTAGTGAAAATCACATGTGACAGGCCAGTTTGATGTGTGTGTCTAGCCAAATGCTGCAAGGGACTTTACAAAGAAAGATATTGAATTTTTAAAGCTTTGGCCTTTTTTCCAGCAATAAGGTTCATAAATGGATTGTGCGGAGTTGAGATGAAGGCACACAATAGGTCCTTGTGGTTAGAAAGCATTTCATCACAAGTCGTAAGGCGTGTTAAGTAGTCATCATGTCGAAATGCGTTCTTGTTCTTTTCGCAATCTGCAACAAAGTCACTAATTGCTTTTTCTGTTGTTTCCTCCCAAATAACACCTGGGACCTGAGGCCTTTGTTTAAATTAAAATCAGAGTTCCCGTTTTAGTTTGTTTTGATACCTATATTGTATCACAATGCAAATAATCTTTATATGGCTAGTGAAGCGAGTGTAGCTGTGAGTGACATTTGATTGATAAGCACTGAGGCAGTGTACAGACACAGCATCAACCTAAAAAAAGAGTTACAGATTATTTTGACAGATTTGGGTTTTATTCTGGTTGATGAGAGATAATAAATTTGTTGTTTGAATAACATTGCTTGATTTTTATGCCACACAATGCCAGACGTGATTAAGGTTTTAGTGGTTCCACCGCAAAAAAAATACTCAATGAATATTGGTGTTTATTTCTATTCTCTGAAAATCCACATCAATTCGTTGATGCTTTTCATTGACTGGCACTGGTCGATAGGTTCTAACATACAACAATTAGAGCTGTACTTCAGTGACCTGCTGTTTCCGCGCTTAGTGGTCGCCATTTCTAAACAAAATGAAATGGTTTCTGTTCAGATTTAAGAGGATTTCTCCCAAGTCTCATTCAAGCCATTGTTGTGAAGTGCCCTTCGGCTGCCATGTTTGTTATATGTCGAAAAGTCTCTATTTGTACATTTGAAATCTTTATACCATAGTTGGATATGTGATTGCGTTCTCCACTTGGGAGCGGAAGACGAGGCCAGAGTACTATTGTTTTACTATTGATTCCTGGCAGGACGCTATTGTGGCGTAAAACTGGCACAGTTGATAGTGTATTATATGCATGTTGGTTCAATCCTTGAAACAGAGTTTATAACGATCGCATGTGGGAAATACGATTGTTGAAATCGATTCACCTCTCGTGTACATCTCACATGGCTGTGTTCAACATGGGCCCCATAGAAGGCATCACTGTACTTTTAATTGCTGTCTAATTTTGTGGGTAATCGGTCAGAGCCCTTTGGTCTGTTATCACCACATTGCAAATCATGATTTTAATGCCACAAGAGCTGGGATCATTGATCTAGCAACGACTTTTGCCCGTGGATAATTTTATGCTTTCTCTCACATTGTATAGGGAAATTATGGTGAAGTTTAGAAATTGTTTTTGCTGAACTCCGTGACCAGGTTGGAGAGATCAAACGTGGTCATTTTCAATTGATTATTTAATCTGAATGGGACTGACAGTTTTTATTTGTTGTGTCTACTTTGATGGATATTTGGCGCAAAAGAATTCTTGCATTGTGATGAATACACACAATTAAGCATCTTTGTGTTATCCTCAAATAAGTGATCTATCTTTCTTGTTTGAGACTTATTGAGCTGAATAAACAAGATCTCTGTCCTACAGAGTGAGAGAGTACATTTTTCGTTTGAGCTCATGATCATGGATATCAACTTTATGGTATTTGCTTTTACATGGGCAGTTTTGTTACCAAATTAGGGCACCATTTGTGACATTATTGAATTACTGGAATCAGAATCTTTAAAGCCCAATGCAGCATGGTTGTGTCCCATGTTTTTCAGATCAATGATGTTATGTGATTACAGGAGCATCTCTCGATGAGGCCGACACAGGCTGGCTAGATGATAGATATTTTGTTGAATGTGGTCTGCATGCACCCTTCATGTCAAGCTTAATAGTGTCAGAGACCCTGGTAACCTTGGTAACATCTCATTTTGGACAAATGTAGATGAAACCCATTATTAACCCTACCAAACCTTGTGTGTGTCTCTGTGTGTATGTATGGAGTCATTACATTGCAGGTTAGACAGTCACTAGACTGTCTGGGTTAATGAGGGTCTGCTATTTTTGTAAAGATTTCTGTCAACGAATCGTACCCATACCCCATTGCAAATAAGCAGCAGTTGAGATCATCTATACAATATGCTTATTCACATGAATGTAACTGTTAGTTCATAGTGACAACAATGCTAAATGGGTGTATACCAAGATGAACATATATATATACCTCTGGCCTCATGCTTCTGTTTACTGTTATTATTGATACATGTAATTTAACATTTTTGAACATCATCTAAGATCAAAACTTTAATCAATATATTTAGCTAGTTTTTGTATTACAGGCTGTGATATACTAGCAAGTAAATGAATCATCTGTTTATCTTTTCCTAATTTATGAAAGTTTGGTTTTTCGTATGTATAGTGAGGTCCATGCATGGTTTCTGTTCTATTTAAATTATATTGTGGGCCTTCTAGTAAGAGACACATGAGTGGTGACTTCTATGACTTGGGGTAGGGGATAGGAGTGGAGGCCACACAGGTGACAATGTCAACTTAGGCGTCAGGACTTCCAGATCTACTGATCATGGGTTTGAATCTTAGATTTATAGTGTGTATGAGCCTTGGTTGAAGCAACAAGGTCATATTGTACAGTCTAGTCATGAATCACAACTACAGGATAATTTTTTCTGAATTTTCTTAGGACTCATAATATTTGTTTTTACATGCCAATCAAGTAGTGGCACCAACCCTTATTCTGAAATCGATGTAATGTGTTTTCTAACTGTTGCTTGAAAACTTCTGAGGAAGGTGTTATCTTTGGGAGGTCATATTGTATTTGTATAGATTATAAACAGATGTAAAAAATATAAGTAGCCATCACGTCTTGGTGTCTTAACATATTCTGGT